CTTGAACTTGTGGAGGGACTCCTTGCCGCACGCGGGGCAGAGCGACGAGGTCTTGAACTCGTTGATCAGGTACACCGTCAGCCCGTGCCGACGGAGCATCTTGCGCATGCCCTTGCCGCGGATGGGCTCGTGGAAGCGCTGGTGCGGCGCCGACCAGTCGCCCATGATGAGCACTGCATTGTTGCCAAACTCGACCCGCAGGCTGCGCACCAGCCGCGCATTCGCCCGCTCCGTGTGGATGTACGCCAGCAGACGCAGCTTGCGGTGCAGCGGCTGAGCGCGCGCGACACGCTGGCCCACCACGCCCCCTTTTCCGTGTTTAGTTGTTGGTAGGGGGGTGGTGGTGGTGTTGCGAGCCCCGCCGCGCGCGGCGCAGCAGACGCCGCACGCGCTACGCCCCGCCGGCCACACGCGCGGGGCGGGCTCGGCACATGGAGCCCGCTCCCTCCTGCCACCCGGCCAATCGCCGGGCGCACTAGCCACCCCGCGCTGCAGCAGGGGCCTGCGCACGGCGCAGAGCTGCAGCCCGGGGCTGCAATGGCCAGTGACACTGCGCGCCAAGCGCCTGCCATGCGTGACGCCTGGAACGCACTGAACAGCACGCTGGCACCCGTTGACGACGACAATCCATTGGCGATCGACAACAACAATCCATTGGCGATCAACGGCGACGCGCAGCCGCTCAGTCGGCCCACGCGGCCGCCCGACGACGACGACGACATGGATATACTATAAAAGACCCGCTTCTCGGGCATTTCCCTCGGACACACTTGTCCGCAAATACTACGGTATCTCTTGCTATCCTCGTCGGCCCTCCACCTCGGCCGACCCCGCCGCCAGCCGCTCCCCTCGCTGCGGCCTACCTGTCCGTCCCCCCCGCCGTGCCCGCCCCGGGCCCGGCCGAAACGCAACAGCCTGATTGGCTGGATCTGCGAATCATCATGTGATTGTCTTGCTTTGGGGAGATGAGACTTGTCACGTGTGTGTTTAGCACGTGATGTGGCCTTGGGTGAACTGCGCCTGGATCGTTGCAAGTCAGTACGCCCTACAGCCATGTCCTTTATGAGACGATTAGTGCCGGGTCCTGGCCCGGTGGTTAGCAAGGCCCCCACTTTCACTTCAGCTACCATCCTGCTCGCCGAACCATGCGCTAGCCACACATTTTGCCAGCCGGCGTGCCGCAAGCAGGGCAATAAAGGCAGCTCCCAACGGCCACCGGTCCATGCGCTGGCAACACATGGGCGTGCAACATTGCTGCCAGTGCATGGCGTGGACGATGGAGTGTATGGATACCCGTGGCGCCAAGATGTGTGTGTGCACGCTGCTTCACTTGGTGTATGCTGCGCATATGGTTGCTGGCATCCACACTCAGCCGCACTTCATGGAGCATGAGACACGCAGCGTGCTCTCAGCCAGCACCCGTTGACAGCAGACGACCCATTGCAGAGTACTCAGTCTTGGCGACGCATTGTGAACGGTGGGAGTGCATTCTTAACGTGTGAAGAACGCACTAGCTAGTGAGAGCCACTACTCGTATTGAAAGCACATCGCTATGTCGCATGATGCAACAAACGCCAGCGTAGACCACGCGTCTTTACAGCGCTTCTGGCCGGAAACACGGAACCATGGTGGGGCCGTCCACCAAGCGGAGCCGCGGCAGACTGCCGGCAGTGTTTCCCGCTGCTTGCGCGATGGTGGACGGCGCGGGCGTTGCATATGCGACAACCGGCAGCAGCTCCACGCGGCTTGCGCTGCTGCGGTGGCGTGTCGGCCCTCGATCGGCAGCATCGCAAAGCCTGGTCATCCTCGGGCGAGTCTTGCTCTCGACACGCCTCGGGCTCTGCACAGCGCCTGTTGCCGTGGCAGCGTCATCATACCTGGTGGCCAAGGGCCTACTCACCGGAACGCGCTCCCGGCGGAGCTCGATGATGCGCTGCGCATCGCTGCTATCGCCGTGGTACCCATCGGAGCTGAATTCGGTACAGATCCAGCAGGCATGAAAGATGCAGATACAGGCAGACGAGCGGAAAGAAGAGCGTGAGGAAAGCGGGCGTGGCACAGGCAGCAATTTTCAGCGCCCGTTCAAATTTTGCGCCCACAGACGGCCAATCAGACGCCGGGGGGCGACAGCGCAAGTTAAGCTAACTTGCGCAGGCCTGCGCAAGTTAGATTTCCCCTTTTATTTTTGCGTGATAACAGGCAGTAACTCCCATTGTGGAACGTTTGGCGCCGGATTGCAGGCCAGCGCCCTAACACAGCTAGCCGCCCAACTGAAACCACTCCACTTCTGCCTAGTACCGCTTGGCCCGCGGCTTGCTTGGCTGCAGGTCCTCGGGCAGCGGCTTTGCGCCGAGTCCAAGAAGCCCCGGCCGCCGCTTGCTCACTGCTGCGTCGCCGCTGCCGCTGCTGTCGCCACCGTCGCCGGTCCAGCCCATCCCGCGCAGCATCGCCGCTCCAAACTCTTCAACTGGCACCCGCTCGTATGCGTCGTCGCTGACATCCGAGCACTCGCCAATGTCGTCGGCGAACGCGCGCTCCTCGCGGCCCGCCTGCGATCGCGACGGGATGACCAGCTCCCGGCGTGCCTGCGTCTCGCCGCCGATCAGTTCGCTAATCGCTTCTTCGCGCAGCTGGGCCGCCGCTGTGGCCGAGCCGCCTGGCGCCGGTCCCCTGCGCTTCATCCAGTCGGCATTGCGTCTGGCCGGAATCACCAGTGGCGCGTTGGCCTCCCTTTCGCCCTGGCCGAGTATCGTGCTGCCCTGCTGCGCTTCTACCAGCGCCATCTCCACGCCGATCGACCCGGCCGCCGCAGAAGCCCGGCTGGGTGCGCCGTCGCCGAACGCACTTGGCCGCCCGTTTACTTTGCTCGTTGGCTTTGGCGCGCTCTGTATCTTGAGCCCCGAGAAGCCAACTCTGCCCGCCGCAGCCAACTCTTGCGGCGCGCCCTGCGCTGCGCCTGCAGGCTTGACAGTCGCAGGCCGTGCCCCTGACTTTCTCATGTGTGCGAGCGTGCTGGAGATGGACGTGAGCGTGCAAACACACCTTTTGCTGTTGTTGCCGCTATAGAAGCCGCTACTATTTATACAGTTCTGCCGCCAGGGCTGCCCAGTATGGAAACCCCGCCAGCGTCCACGCGACCTCGCCATCGCACGTCCACACTTTAGCGACACCCGCTGCTTTCTCTCAGGGTCTAATTCTTAACAAGCCAATGCTACCAATGTGCTCTATGCTTGAATCACGCTCCGGGAGAACCACACTTGGTGTGACGACGAGCAGGTACAAGATCGCCGCCACGCGTATCCGCCCTTTTGTCGTATTCTCAAGTGCCCCCGGTCACTCGGCGTGCCGCACCAGCCTCATTACTTGCACTCGGCGGGGGCATGCGTTAAGCAAGTCCTGCAATACGGTCCCGGAGCCCCCAGGAGCGGGTCGCCACACCGCCGGCAGGGCTGGTCCTTGGCGGCAGTGCTGCTTGCATTGGAGTTGTCGATGGCCATGCTTGCTTGTCGGTGTAGCTCGTGTTGCAGTTGTCTGGTGGCAGCAGTGAGGACATCCTGGAAAACGATGCTTTTATACCATCGCTGCTACCCGACTTGCGTGCTTCCAGTCGACGCATCCCTGTTTCCCTAGTTGCCGGCATAGCCGATGACTTCGGCGCATCGCGTGCATCACTCATCGGGAAGCTTTCCGCGGATGGCAGAGTCTCCCGGATGCCGCAGCTGCACTTGCCGGGCTTGTCCATTAGGGCAAAGACTAGTCTCGGACTGGCCGGCCGGCCGGCAGTCTTTGCAGCCGTGACACCATCTTCATTCCGACGCGTCGGGTCTGGGGTGGGGGTGCAATGGCCGCCCTCTTTGGGCAAACCGGCCAGTCCCCCCACTTGCCGATGCGCAGCCGCCAAGAGGAGAAAGTGCCGTGAATCTAGGGATTTGGGCCTCCAGCGATCCAGCCCAGCCCCCAGGCTGTCGCCTCCAACCAACGCTTACCCATCTCTGCTGCACATAGAGAGAAAACTTGGAGAGATGGAATGCACTAGTGGCTGGTCGACGGCAGTGGCTGGTCGGCAGGACGTGCTTCTTCGCGGGTTATGTCCTTCTTTCAACGATGGAGTAGATTTCCCCCGGTTCTGCGTTGTTCATCCTGTGGAGCAGCTTGAGGCACTGGTACGGGACATAATTTCTTGGGTGCTTGCGGCACGATTTCATGTGCGGCGTAGAGTCGGTCAATGGTATGAGCGACATGTACCCGCAGTACTTGCACCGGTAGATTATTTGAGGGTTGATCCTGCCGTCTGGGAAGTACGGAGTGACGGGGTTCGGGATGCATAAATGGGCGGGGTTTCGGGGGTAAGGACGGGCGGGGCTCGGACCGTGTGGATAGGCGGGGCTCATTGCGGCTGTGTTGGCAGGAGTTGGTGGGGCCGGTGCCTTGTTGACATTGAGCGTCAGGGCACCGGGGCGGGCTGCCATTTATATCTTCCAGCAGGCTGGTGCCCCCCTTGCCTCTTGCCAAGCAGCGGGGAGATATCGGCTGAGGTTGCTATCCATCGGCCGGTGATGCAGAGCATGCAGGCCCAGCACGCTGTCCCGCATTGGGGCAGCGTCTCCCCCAAGGACTGCACCGGGGTAGACGGCCCTGCGCGAGAAGAAGCGGACAGTGCGTCGTCAAGCAAACATCACTGATCCTTGCAATGCTTGGAGATGTTGCATTTGGGCGCAGTGTTGTAGCGGCCAGCAGCCCAGCGAATCTGGAAAAGTGATGGTTGCATCGCAGCCCGCAGTGCTGGCGACAGGGCTTGATCGCTGCGCGACTTGCCAGATTGGTTAGCACTGCTGTCGCGAGTCGCCGGTTGCCTATCTGCGGCAGCCACGACAGAGGGCCAGTGCTGCTGACGCTGCCACGCAAACGCTTTACGCGTGGCTTTATGCACGAAGCGAGACCTCGGACTATGTAGCTGCTGGGCGCTGCGTGACAAAGAAAGCAGTTTTGGTCTTGGCCATGCCGATCTGGCTCAATTGGATAGAGCACTCGCCTCCTAAGCGAGAGGTTGCGGGTTCGAGTCCCGCGTTCGGTTCTTTTTATTATTTTTGCCGTCTTTTTCCGCCGCCCCCTTTTACTGGTCTTTTCTGGCGCCCAGCGGGAGTCGAGTGCTGGACGAGTCCGCCCGACGAGCAGCGCTGGCCCGGCGGCACCCACATTGGGGCCAGCAGCACCAGCTTGGCATACACGATGCATGCCTGTCACGTGCTTGGGGGCCTGCCTCCCACCCAATGGCGGGCACGGCAAAATTTTTTTTTAGTGAGACTGCCTTTCTCTCTTACAGTCTTCGATTCGCACGCCCCTCCACTCTTGCAAGCAAAAAAAAAAGGCATTCGACACAGGATGAGCAGCAAGGATTTGTTCTTTGTGGACGGCGACCAAGATGCGCAGGCAAAG